GCTTGTAAGCCAGTCACTTCTTGCCTTTGTATCCCCCCCTCCCCATTTGAGTATCCAATGTCCAAGTTGCCCATCTCCGTCCACTCTGTGTGGAGGGGGTATCAACAGCCTTTTATTAAGGTCTTATTATGTACTGGGAAGTATGCAAGCTTTTCTCTAAGGTGCAAAGGAAAATAAAGTCTCCCATTCCTACAAGTGTTGTGTGGGAGAGGCATGAAAGACCCGATTTAGAGTATGTGCCAGGTGCTGAGAGAACTCCGAGGAAGCCACTACTGTGGTGGGTAAGGAGTAGATGTCACAGTTGGCTTTACACATATTACATATGCCTGAAAGCTCTACAGGAAAAACAAACAAACAAAAAGCATCCAAGTTAGAGAATTGAATTGTGTCATCATTAACAGCATGATTTTAACATTTGGACACATCTGTAAGTTTTATTTTAGAACCTAATTTCTTTATAGAACATGGATATATCTTTGTACCAGCTTTTCTAAAATTATTTCTACTTCAGGTGGTGTAATATTGGCTGCTGATTACTCTCAACTTGAACTGAGGATCCTGGCTCATTTATCTCATGATCATCGTCTCATTCAAGTGTTGAACACTGGAGCGGATGTTTTCAGGAGCATTGCCGCAGAGTGGAAAATGATTGAGCCAGAGTCTGTTGGGGATGACCTGAGGCAACAGGCAAAGCAGGTGACCTTTGTGAACATACTTACTACATATGAGGCACAGGTGTAATGATTTAAAACACTTTAAAAATTGCCTTGATTACTTACAGTTGAGGAATTAATTCTCTAGCTTTGATTCTTTCAAGTCACTTTCACCTGAGCCTCTTATGTTATATACTTTCTTTCATAGAAGTAGTAAAAAGAGCCAGACAGACTGAGGTCTGACCCAGAAAGGCATATACATTTAAAACCATAATATATATAGTCACAGTACCTGGGATACAGTAAATGCTTATTTAAAGGTGATGTTGTTAAGTGCCGTCGAGTTGGTTCTGATTCATAGACCCTTTATAGGGTTTCCGAGAAGTGGCTGGTGAGTTTCAACCACCGACCTTGAAGGTCAAACTGACCTTGTGTTCCAGTGCTTTATCCTACAGCGCCACACCAGGACTCCAACTTTATTCTTATTTGTTGCTGTTAAGTGCTGTTGGGTCAACTCTGACTTACAGCAACCCTGTGGATAGTATCCGAGAATCAGCTGGTGGGTTTGTACCACCGATGTTGTGGTTAGCAGTCCAGTGCTTATTGTACAACACCATATATTCTATGTATTGCATAGTCTAATTATACCTGCAGGTGATAGGTATTATTGTGGTGGTTGTTAATTTTGTGTGTATTTTTAAATCTTGTTTTGTAGTCTGTAAACGCCCCGAGGTAAGAGTCCATATTTCTGTCCTTATCTTTTCCCACACCATGAAGCCATAATATTTGTGTAAAAGGTGCTTTCTATACAAAAATACTTATTTCAGAACTGTGGATTATAATTAATAACTGATAGCTTTTTAGCTTTGATTAACTAATCAAAGCCTTTGGTTAGCTAATCTAACTATGAAATGTCATGCTGCCCTTGAACCTTTGAAATGGATCTGTATTACTTTGTTCTCCAGATTGCTGCTTTGGAACTCACAAAAAAAAAATCACCTCTCAGTGGGATAAAATGAAATCATTTCTTTCTTTTACTCAAATGATTCAGCTGGGCAGCTCCTCTCATCTAGCTCAGCTGGGCATGGCTCCAAGCTGTCGATAAGATGCAGGTTTGCTCCGCAGCTTGCTCATCCTCCTTTAACCAGTAGGCCTACAAAAGAATGCTCTTCTTACAGTGAAGGGAGAAGTGCAAGAACGTAAGCACTTATTAAATGTCTATTCCGCTACTTATTAAATGTCTGCTAATAGTGGTGACTCGACGGCACTTAACAACAACAACAACAACAACAATAGTGGTGCTGTGAGTTGGTGCTGTTGGTTCATGCACTGGACCGCAAAATCAGTTTGAACCATAAGATGGGCAGTTCAAACTCACCCGCTGCTCTTTGAAAACCCCATAGAGGGTCACTATGAGTTGGAACTGACTCGACGATACTTAACAACAGGGTAAGTACTAGACCACAAAGTCTATTTGGCCACAAAGTGGCAGTGCAAACCCACCAGCCGCTCCTCAGAAATCATATACAGGTTCGCTGTGAGTCCAAATTGACTCCACGACAATATCCTATCGATAAAAGCAAGTCACAGGAAAGAGTCCAGAGTCAAGGGGCAAGAAAGTCTGCTCTTCTTGTGGTTGTAAGCTGGGGGCAAGGGGAAATGTGAATATTTTTTAATGATAGTCTAATCTATCTACCTACATAATACCTACATAATTAGACATTATTTTCCCTCAAAACCTTGTGAGGGAGCATTTTTACAAGTGTAGCTATCCTAGATTGCTCTTGAGAGGATTTAATACCTGTGTGATTACTTTTTCTTTGTGGGTAGGCTTGTTTTTCCTTCTGGAAGTATTAAGATAATTTTGTTATCCTTAAGTTGTCGAAATTTTACTGTGATTGTTGTGATATGGATTTTGAAGGTTTGTATCCTCAGCTCTGGGAAAATTTTAAATATCATTTCTTTGATAATTTCTTTGCGTTATTCTCTCTCTTACAGATGTAATGGCTGTTTATCAAATATTGTACCTTTATGAGTGATAGTCTGTGCCTTTTCTTTTTCTGATTATTCTTATTTCACAGTAAGCTATTTTTATTCTAGGACTGCATTTTATTCTTGAATGCAATGTATGATACTAGAAATTTGTTTGCTTCACTGCTTTATCTTTACTACCTAGAACAGACCACCTGGATGCTTAGTGAATATTTATTGAAAAAAAAAAAAAAAAGAATGAGACACTAAGTCTCCTAATTAGAAGATTATTTTAAGTTTGCTTGTATTTTTAGATTCTTTGCCTTTTAAGGGTTTTTTTCAAAGTTTTTATTGTGAATTGTATGAAGGTTTTACACAGTAGACCGACAGTCCCACATTCAACAAATCATGCACTTCGTTTCATTGTAGTGATTGCAAGCCTTTCCATGTGCCATTAGTTACAGTACTTTATTCATTTTTTAACTTCTGAACGCCCTGTGTCTCCCACTAAATTCATATTTCCTGTGCCAACCTCCCTCTTGTTGTATATTGCTTTCCTTATTACCCAAGTTAACATGTGTGTACCCTCTAGCTCTGATAGCGTAGAGGTTATGAATCGGGCTGCGAACCTCAGGGACAACAGTTTGAAACTACCAACTGTTCCACAGGAGAAAGATGAGGCTTTCTGCTCCCATAAAGATGTACAACCTCGGAAACCCTGTACAGGGTCTCTATGAGTTGAAACCGACTCCACGGCACATAACAACAACAACCCTCTACCCAGTGAATATTTTTCCCTTCCCTCCCACCTCTGGTAACCATCATAGAATGTTTCTTTGGTCAAGAAAGCCTTTTCTTTTTATAATAGTGGCTTCATACAATATTTGCCCTTTTGTGATTGACTAGTTTTCACTCCACATAATATCCTCCAGGTTCATCCATGTTATGAAGTATTTTGAAGAGTCATCATTATTCTTCAACATTGCATAGTGTTCCATTTTGTGTTTGTACCAAAGTTTGTTTTATCATTCTTCTGTTGATGGACATTTAGGCTATTTCCATCTTTTGTTGTTGTGAGTAGTTCTACAATGAACATAGATGTGCATACATATAGTCATGTTATGGCTCTTAATTCTTGAGAATATATGCCAAGTAAAGAGATTACTGGGTCAGACGGTCCTTCTGTTTCCAACTTTTTGAGAACGTGCCATACCATTTTCCGCAGTGCTTGCACCACTATAGTCCCACTAGCAGTGTAGGAGGGTCCTGGTCTCTCCACACCCTAGCCAACATTTGTTGTTTTCTGTTTTATGAACTCTGCTATTAATGCTGGAGTAAGGTGATATCTCATTGTTGTTTTGATTTGCATCTCTTTTAAAGACTGATGATCGTGAGCATTTCTTTATATGTTTGTTGGCTGCCTGAATGTCTTCATTGTTGGAATGTCTGTTCATGTTCTCTGTCCATTTTATAATTGGATTATTTGGCTTGTTGAGGTGTTGAAATGTTCTATAAATTTTGGAGAGTAGTCCATTGTTTGATGTGTCATTGCCAATATTTTTTTTCTCAGTCTCTGGGCTCTCTTTTTTCTCTTTTGGCGAAATCTTTTGGTGCACACAGGTGTCTAATTTTTAGGAGATCCCAGTTGATCTATCTTCTGTGTTTTCTCAGTTATATTTGTGTGTTTGCTTGTTTTTAATTTACATTTTATGTATTCTGTTGCTGAGAATATACACTATGAAACATACACCAGTTCAACAGCTTCTACATGCACAATTGAACCACATTGATTACATTCTTCAAGTTGTGCAATCATTCTTACCCCCCATTATCAGTTGTTCCTCCCTCATTAGTACAAACTGACTGCCCCCTATGCTTCCTAGCTAGTATTTCAGTTGGTGTTGTTAAATTGATGCCATATGGTTAGTTCGTAAAAGAGCATAATGCTCAAGCTAGACCTTTTAAACTAGCTAAACTGTTCATATTAAAGATTTTAGAGGATAATTTTGATTTAAGATTTAGAGATGCTCTCAGGACAGTGGTTTTCATGGATTTTTCTACCCTCCATCAAGACTCCCAGAAGTCTAGAGTCCATGAATTTTGAAAATTTTAAATGCATTTTTTTCTCTTTGATCAAAATTCTTTTATGAAATCTAAGATCAAGATATTCATTAATGGTAGCCAGCACTGCACCATCTAGTTCTTTTGGTCTCATGGCACGTTTTAGTTTCCCCTCCTATTCCTGACTCAGCAGAACCAACAGATCCAACAGAATGTGGAAACTAGTGAACAATATCATTAATATCACATGCAAGTTAAGATTTTGCCAAAGATAATCCAAAAACACTTACAGTAGTACACCAGAAATTTCAGAAGGTGTGGAACGAGGGATGTCATTGCTGATGTCAGATGCATTGTGGCTGAATATAGAGAATACCAGAAAGATGTTTACTTGTGCTGTATTGCCCATGCATAGACATTCTACTATGTGGATCATAACGGATTATGGTTAACATTGCAAAATAAGAATTTCTGAACACTTAATTTTGCTCAAGTGAAACCTCTACATAGACCAAGAGTTAGCCATTCAAACAGAATAAAAGAATACTGCATGGTTTAAAATCAGGAAAGATATGCAGTAGGTTGTATCCTTTCAACATACTTATTCAATCTGCATGCTGAGCAAATAATTGGAGAAGCTGGACTATATGTCATTGAGACAGGGCAAAGATTCATTAACAACCGCAATATGCAGATGACACAACTTTGCTTGCTGAAAGCAAAGAGGATTTGAAGCAACTTGTCAATGAAAGATCAAAGACTACAGCCTTCAGTGTGGATTATATCTCAACACAAAGAAAGTGAAAACCCCCACAACTGGACCAATCAGGAACATCATGATAAGTGGAGGAAAGACTGAATTTGTTAAGGATTTCATTTTTCTTGAGCACACAATGCCCATGGAAGCAGAAATCATGAAATCAAACGATGTATTTATTGCAACAGGCATATTTGTTGTCAAAGATCTTTTTACATTGTTAAAAAGCAAAAGTGTCACTTTAAGGATTAAAT